TTAGAGACAGGGTTTCACTATGTTGGCCAGGCTGGTCTCTAATCCCTGACCTCAGGTGATATGCCCTTCTCAGGCTCCCAAAATGCTGGGATTACAGGTGTGAGCCAACTCATCTGGCTTGTAAGAATCATTTTTGGATAGTCCATATGAAATTGTATTTAATTTTTCTAGAATAGCAACACTTTGGGAATATTCTAAATAAGTTCTAAAAGACTTGAGGGATAATTTTCTTTGGAGAATATAAAAATGTTTTTCCTGAAAATGGATACTTAAAAGGCCAGAAGATTTTTGCCACAAATTAAAGCATGTATGTTTTGGAAAAGCATAATTTTAAGTAACAGCTCTGACTAAACTTAAATGTATTATGATGTTTATGGAATGATCATAGAAAGCAGTGTTATGATTACAGCTGACTTCAAAAAGGTTTTTTTTGGTTTCTTTCTTTCTTTTTTTTTTTTTTTTTTTTTTTTTTCCCTTTTTTTTTCTTCTGTGCTGGCCTCTTGCTCGTATGATTTTACTGTAAGGTATGGTGACTTTTAATATGTTTCATTGTGAAATACCAGGTAACATTTGCAACTTTGCAACTTTTATAAGAGATAATATGATTACTCTTACTAACATGAAAATAATCTGAGATGGGCATATTGAAATATTTACTAGGATTAATATTATATTTTTCCTGTTTTCATGATCCAGTCACATATATGAGTAAATTTTTTTCTCTTCACATATTAGCCTGGATACTATGTGTAAAAGCTTTTTTTCTAATAGATGGTAACACTTTCCTAAACCATAGCTTGTATAGCCAATATCTTGTAAATTTAGATTTAGAAATTGGGAAATTTCATTTTTTCAGGTCTAATTATATGAGTCTTAAGGCTAAGATTGCTTAGATGAAAAAACAATGAACATGAGTTTGTTTGTGAATGTAGATATATGAATGTATATGTGTATATATGTGCATGGGTATCTAGATATGAGTGTGTGTGGGTGTGTGTCCTTATTTATACTTTCAGTTACAGTTCTACACCACACAGGATTCATTTCTCCTTTCCAGATTTATAATTCTTGACTTCCATTTTATTCACAGTGTATTTTCTTACGTGTTAAATGCAGTAATGCTTAAAAAGTAGTTTCAGAATTGCAAAGCCATACCTTTGAAAAAAAGAATCTTATCAATTAGAGCTCAGCACTTGCTTAGAGTTTTTTGTCTTTAGTTCAGATACTGTATTCAGAAGTTACTTAGGTTAATTCTCCTCTTCTCTTTGATTCCTTTGTTTCTGTTTGTATTCAATTTTAGGGTTTTCCTCCAATCCTTGTTGATTTTGTCTAGGCAAAACCTTGACCTGGCTTCAAAAATCAAGATGTCCATAAAGGTGTATTCAGAAAGGTGTTATTTCTCTCCTTCTATTTCCTCAGCCTTTCTGTTTTATTCTGTTCCATACTCTGTAGGTAACTAGTCTTGCTCATATACGTAGACATAGTTATATGTATTTTCTCATTTCCCCCTTTCTTACACAAAGAGTGGGGTACTTTGGATACATACTCCTTTAAATTTTGCATTTTTCACATAACATATATCCTGGAAATCATTCTATATCAAAGAAATCATTCTCGTTCTGCTTAATACACCATTGTGTGGATGTACCATAGTTTATTTGGCTACCTTCCTATGTATGGACATTTAGCTTATTTTCAATGTTTCATAAATAAACAGTGCCAGAGTGAATGATAGCTTTGTGTGTATGCATATTCATATTACTAGAGAATTAATATCTGGTATTCCCAGAAGTGCAATTGCTGAGTTAAAAGGTAAACGTGTAGTTTTGTTAGATATTACCAAATCTTCATCTGTAAGGAATATGCCAATTTTGATACCCAGCAGCAATATTTGAAAGTACCTGTTTCTCCACCATCTAAAGATCATTGATTCATTAGGGTTTTTCAGGTGCATGATCATATCACTTGTAAATGTAGGTGGTTCTACACCTTCATTTCCAATTCTGACACCTCCAATTGATTTCTCTTAAAATTGCCTTCACAAATACCTCTAATACAGTGCTAGGTAGTTTATAGAGAATGTCTGATTCCTAATATTAGTGCAAATGTCTTTAGTGTTTCTCTATTAAAAATAAGATTCTGACTTTAATGCAAATTATATATGTTTACTTGTTTATCACGCTGAGAAAGTATGCATGAATTCCTGTTTTCTTGAGTTTGTCTTTTTTTTTTCTTTAATCAGGAGTGGATCTTAGTTTTGTTGAAGGTTTTTCTTCCCCCCTGGTGTTTATGGAGATAATCATGATTTTTCTTCTTAGTGCTATGGCTGTGATGTATTATATTAATGGATTGAACCAACCTTGCATTCCTTGACTGTCTCTCATGTTCTTTGTGTATCGTTTTCTTACCATGTTGTTGACTTGTGTTTGCTAATATTTTATTTAAAGCTTTGCATCAGTATTCAAAGGTGATGTTAGTTGTAGTTTTCTTTCTTTTTGTTTATATGTCTTTGTTTTACTTGTTTCATAAAAAAGAATTAAGAAATTTTCCTTCATTTAGAAAGCTCTGGAACTACTACTTATACAGCATTGAGGCTATTTGGTCTTTGAATCCTTGGTAGGATTGTTCTGTAAAATTATCAGAGCATGGTGCTTTTTGTGGAGTGCTTTCTTGATAACTTCATTTCTTTTATAGAATTTGGTCTCTTTGAACTTTGTATCTCTAATGGGATCAATTTTGGAAATGTCCCTTGCTTGTAGGTTTTCAAATTTATTTGTACAGGTGTCTGTAAAGGGATGGACACAGTTGCTCACGCCTGTAATCCCAGCACTTTGCGAGGCTGAAGCAGGTGAATCACCTGAGGTCAAACGGGTGGAGACTAGTCTGGCCAACATGGTGAAACCTTGCCTCTACTAAAAATAGAAAAATTAGCCAGGCGTGGTGGCAGGTGCCTGTAATCCCAGCTACTTGGGAGGCTGAGGCAGGAGAATCACTTGAACCTGGGAGGCAGAGGTTGCAGTGAGCTGAAATAATGCCACTGCACTCCAGCTTGGGCAACAGGGTGAGACTCTGCCTCAGGAAAAAAAAAAGATGTCTGTAAAGTAGTGTTGTAGGATTTCCTCTCTTTCAGTTGTTTTACTCTTGTTATTTCTGATTTTGTATCTTTATGAATTCTTTTTTTAATATCTAGTGGTATGTTTATTTTGTTATTTTTCTTCAGCAGGTAGAATTTTAATTTATTAATTAGAACTGCTTTTTTCAGCCAGGTGTGATGGCTCACGCCTGTAATCCCAGCACTTTGGGAGGCCAAGGTGGGCAGATCACCTGAGGTCAGGAGTTCAAGACCAGCCTGACAAGCATGGTGAAACTCCACTTCTACTAAAAATACAGAATTATTTCGGCGTGCTGGTGCATGCCTGTTATCCCAGCTACCTGGGAGGCTGAGGCAGGACAATTATTTGATCCCAAGTGGTAGAGGTTGCAGTGAGCTGAGATTGTGCCATTGCACTCCAGCCTAGGCAACAAGAGTGAAACTCGGTCTCAAAAAAAAGAAAAAGAACTACTTTTTTCCATTCTCTAAATTATTAATTGCTGCTTTTATTTTTATTATTTCTTTTTTGGTACTTTCTTTTTATTGTTCTTTTTTTCAGCTTCTTGAGCTGGGAATTTATTTTTATTCCTTCATTTTGTTAATGAAGTGTTTAAGGCTATAAATTTTTTTCTGGTTATTGTTCAAACTATAGCCCATAAATTCAGATATATAATGTTTTCATTATCATTTTAAATAATTTTTTAGTTCTGTTTTTACTTGCCTTTTCTTCCAAGAGTTGTATAATAGGAAATTATTTTGTTTCCATATGAAAATGCCTTTTAACTTAAAAAATTTTGTTAATACTTTCTAGTTTTGTTGCATTAAAATCAGAGAATACTATTTTAGTCATTCTATTTTCTGGAACATATTGATATTTGGGGGAAATGGAACCTAATAAATGATCAGTTTTTGTGAATGTTTCATTTGCAGTTAAGAAGACTGTATATTCTCCATTTTCAGGCAATAAAGTTCAGTATATAATCATAACCTACAAGTTGATTATGTTGTTTAGGCCTTCTGTATCCTTTCTTGTTAATGGTCCAGTTAGTCTGAGAACAGTATGTTACTGAACATGGTGTGTTAAAATCTCTTATCATTAGCAGGCTTCTACATCTCCCTGCATCTTTTGTAGTTCCGATTTTATAGAAATAGATGCTGTGTTTCTGGTATGCAGATATTATAATATGTATATAGTGAATTGAGACTTTTAACATTAAAGAGTATCCTTCTTTGTCACAGTTAATGCTTTAAGTTCTGAGATACATGTGCAGAATGAGTAGGTTTGTTACATAGGTATACATATGCCATGGTGGTTTGCTGTACCCATCAACCCATCATCTACATTAGGTATTTCTCCTAATGCTATCCCTCCCTTAGCCTCCCAACCCCCTGACAGGACCCGGTATGTATGTGATGTTCCCATCCCTGTGTCCATGTGTTCTCATTGTTCAACTCCCATTTATGAGTGAGAACATACAGTGTTTGGTTTTCTGTTCCTGTGTTAGTTTGCTGAGAATGATGGTTTCCAGCTTCATCCATGTCCCTGCAGAGGACATTAACTCATCCTTTTTTATGGCTGCATGATATTCTATGGTATATGTGCCACATTTTCTTTATCCAGTCTATCATTGATGGGCATTTGGGTTGGCTCCAAGTCTTTGCTATTGTGAATAATGCTGCAATAAACATATGTGTGTATGTGTCTTTATAGTAGAATGATTTACAATTTTGCAGGCATATACCCAGTAATGGGAATGCTGGGTCAAATGGTATTTCTGATTCTAGACCCTTGAGGAATCGTCACTCTGTCTTCCACAATGGTTGAACTAATTTATACTCCCACCAACATGTAAAAGTGTTCCTATTTCTCAGCATCCTTTTCAGCATCTGTTGTTTCTTGACTTTTTAATTATTGCCATTCTAACTGGCATGAGATGGTGTCTAATTGTGGTTTTGATTTGTATTTCTCTAATGACCAGTGATAATGAGCTTTTTTTAACGTTTGTTGGCCACATAAATGTCTTCTTTTGAAAAGTGTCTGTTCATATCCTTTGCCCACTTTTTGATGGGGTTGTTTTTTTCTTGTAAATTTGTTTAAGTTCCTTGTGGATTCTAGATATTAGCCCTTTGTCAGATAGATAGATTGCAAAAGTTTTCTCCCATCCTGTAGGTTGCCTGTTTACTCTGGTGACAGTGTCTTTTGCTGTCCGAACCTCTTAATTTAATTAAATCCCATTTGTCAATCTTGACTTTTGTTGCCATTGCTTTTGGTGTTTTTGTCATGAAATCTTTGCCCATGCCTATGCCCTGAATGGTGTTGCCTAGGTTCTTTTCCAGGGCTTTTATGGTTTTAGGTATTACGTTTAAATCTTTAATCCATCTTGAGTTAATTTTTGTCTTTAGTTAATTTTTGTATAAAGTTTAAGGAATGGATCCAATTTCAGTTTTCTGCATATGGCTAGCCAGTTTTCCCAACATCATTTATTAAATAGGGAATCCTTTCCCCAGTGCTTGTTTTTGTCAGGTTTGTCAAGGATCAAATGATTATAGATGTGTGGTGTTATTTCTGAGGCCTCTGTTCTGTTTCATTGGTCTATATATCTGTTTTGGCACCAATACTATGCTGTTTTGGTTACTGTAGCCTTGTAGTATAGTTAGAAGTCAGATAGCATGATACCTCCATCTTTGTTCTTTTTACTTAGGATTTTGTTGGCTATACAGGCTTTTTTGGGTTCCATATGAAATTTAAATTCGTTTTTTCTAATTCTGTGAAGAAAGTCAATAGTAGCTTGATGGGGATAGTGTTGAATCCATAAATTACTTTGAGCAATATGGCCATTTTCACAATATTGATTCTTCCTATCCATGAGCACGGAATGTTTTTCCATTTGTTTGTGTCCTCTCTTATTTCCTTGAGCAGTGGTTTGTAGTTCTCCTTGAAGAGGTCCTTCACATCCCTTGTAAGTTGTATTCCTAGGTATTTTACTCTCTTTGTAGCAGCTGTGAATGGAAGTTCACTCATGATTTGGCTCTCTGTTTGTCTGTTATTGGTGTATAGGAATGCTTGTGATTTTTGCACATTGATTTTGTATCCTGAGACTTTGCTGAAGTTGCTTATCAACTTAAGGAGATTTTGGTCTGAGACACTGGGGTTTTCTAAATATACAGTCATGTCATCTGTAGACAGAGACAATTTGACTTCCTCTCTTCCTATTTGAATATCCTTATTTCTTTCTCTTGCCTGATTGCCCTGGCCACAACGTCTAATATTGTGTTGAATAGGAGTGATGAAAGAGGGCATCCTTGTCTTGTGCCGGTTTTCAAAGGGAATAGTTCCAGCTTTTGCCCATTCAGCATGATACTGGCTGTGGGTTTGTAATAAATAGCTCTTATTATTTTGAGGTATGTTCCATTAATACCAAGCTTATTGAGAGTTTTTAGCATGAAGGGATGTTACATTTTATCAAAGGCCTTTTCTGCATCTATTGAGATAATCATGTGGCTTTTGCCATTGGTTCTGTTCATGTGATGGATTATGTATATTGATTTGCATATGTTGAACCCCCATACCTTTATTTTTAAACAATTTTGTTGAACCATTTTGTTCTAGGTATGTCTCTTGTATAGGGTGTATATTAGGACTTTGCTTAGTGAACAAATAAACAATCTTTTTATTAGAATATGTAAGTTTAACTCATTCATATTTCTTTCTTTTCTTTTTTTTTTTTTGAGATGGAGTCTCACTCTGTTGCCCAGGCTGGAGTGCAGTGGCACAATCTCAGCTCACTGCAACATCCACCTCCTAGGTTCAAGCAATCCTTCTGCTTCAGTTCCCCTAGTAGCTGGGATTACAGGCATGCACCACCATGCCCAGCTAATTTTTGTAAATTTTGTATTTCACCATGTTGTCCAGGCTGGTCTTGAACTCGTGACCTGAGGTGATCCACCCGCCTCAGCCTACCAATCTCATTTATATTTCTTGATAAAAATGTTTAGCATCAAATTTGTCATCTTTTATGTTTTGATTATTATTTGTATTTTATTTACTATTTCTATGTGTATGTGTGATGGTTTTTTTGTTGTGTTTTGACTTGGACTTAAAACTTTTTTTTTCTTTGTCTTAAAACTTTTTTTGACATTTAGGTAAGTTTTTATGTGTTTGTTTTAGTGATTGCCTTTGGTGTTAGAACTTTTTTAATGCCTTTATAACTTTTCTTTAAAAATTAACCACTTATTAACTGGTTGTGAGTTTTTCATTATATTTGTGTTAAATCCCACCTATTTTTTTTAATACA